TGACACAGAGTTTAAGAAAATAAATATTACTTTTGAATCTTGTGGTCCTAAATTAAAGTTATGTCAAATATACAAAATTGTCCTTTAATCTTGTAGTCTTAAACATGCCACGTGAAAAGTTGAAACTAAAATATTACCAAAAAAAGAAAGAGGACATTCTTTTTGAAACAGACTAAAAAGGAAAAGATGTCATTATTTTTTAAGCAGAGGGAGTAATAGAGTTATTACAGGTTTGTAAGATCAAGAGCTTGATCTATGAGTGTCTGGAGTCATTATTCACTTGTTGCTTGAAATAGTGAAAACAGTTGAAAAATCTCGTGAGACATGTCGTGGTTTTTCTCCCTTGAGCAAGGAGATTTCCACGTAAAACTTTTTGTGTCTTTACTTTACTCGCATTCCTAAGATAATATCAACCGGTCCCTTATAGCACGGTGGACTAGTACACGTAACAACGAAGAACAATCCGCTCATACAACCAAAAGTTTGACAACTAACAAAGACTGTCTAGTGTTAACATTATCCTTCTTTTTTTTTTTGGTTTCCCACCCGGTGTTTGGAGTCCACATTAGAGCTCCGACTAAATTCGGATCACACTCTGTAGGGCCCATTTGGGGGTGGTGCTCCCAACATGATTTTCTCCATACTTAGGGCTCTAACCCGAGACCTCTGATTAAGGATGAAGCACTCCGACCAGTGCACAACAACCCATGTGGATAACATTATCCTTGTTGTCAACTATTGAAACTAAAATGGTGGACTTTTTCAACAAAGTAGTTGTGTTTCATAAAAAAACGCAACAACTATTTAGAAAATAAAATAAAAATTAATAGTATAACAGGATTTTAGGGAAAAAACAAAAATAAGTTTAAGTTTGACTATGAAAAATAGAAGATTGACTGTCAGGTCCTCCGCCAGCCATTCAAAACCAATATATAATAATGGGCATATTCATACAAATTTCTTAATTTTAATTAATTTGAATTTGTATCAAAAAGTTATATTTTAAAAATAAAAAGCTTTTTATTAAAGACACTTTATAGTATTCATAATCTGGATTTTAATCGAAAAATTTAATATTTAATTACTAGATCAGAATATCTTTTATTTGTTAACAACAATCACCATTGAAATGACTAAATCATACACATGTATAGGCCATGCATTATAAATATTGATTTGACTCAACAGGATAAAAGAAAAAATCTAGCCTAGATAGAATGTTTCTTAATTAAATAAGATTTAAAGAAGTGTTTTTAAAAAATATATTAATAATAATTATTTATTCATGTGTTTAGTTATTTCTTTTTAATTCTAAGTTAGATCACCAACGAAAATGATGATATGTATATATATCTACTTTGCATCATTGAATGTATTTATTTGTATTATTTTTTCTCTTTGTTATTCGGTATCAAAATTTAGCTAGTTGTCCTGTTCAAAAGGAAACTATAATTTTAATTTTTTAAATTTTGAATTTGATCGAATTCATAGCTAAATTTCTACTTTCATCCTCAGGCTAGATTAACATATTTGTCTTTCGTTAAGCACACTACAAGATATGTAAAACTCTATCAAGAAAGTTTTTATTTTCAAACCTCGAGCACAATATTTTATACATAAATCTTAATCGCCTTATTTAAATCTCAGCAAAAGCAAATTATATTAAGTAATTCCTTTCATCGATTTGTCTAAGTTTTAGTAAATATAGCCCATAGTTATCCAGATTTATATTAATAAGAGATATTAGATATCCGATGAAATAATAATCAAATTAACTTAGGCCCACAATCATTATAACATCATTTCAACCACCCTGCCATGTTAGTAGTATGTATTTATTGCTCTAAAATAATATTCTTGGTAGGATTTATGGTCTGGTCTAGGACACGTTTGTCCATCCAGTTCTTATTAGAAAATAGTGTGCTCCTTTTAGACACGTAATTATATAATATGACTATAGACTATAGAGGTCTAGAGTTAGGTAATTAAATTTATATTCAAATATATAAAGTTGTCATCGTGTAATCTAGTGATCACAAATTCAAATTGTAATAGAAGTCTCTAATATTTGTCTTAGAATAGATTATCTATATTATACTTTTTTTAGTGCGATTTATTTTTCTCTTAATAATACTCACAAAAATATTTTGTACATCAAACTATTCATTGAATAAATAACTTTAATTAGTTAATTATAACACGTTTACAAGCAGACCACATATATCGAATAAAACGACCATTTTAGGTCATGTTAAATTGGAATAGATCCTTACATGCTTAATCAAATGTTTCGATTTTAAGTATGATAAAGACACAAATATTGCTTCTTCTTTTTGTAGGTGACTATAGATTATGTCCATATTTTGAAAAAATGGTGTAAAATATATATAACTCTTACAAAATTGTCATTTAATATAATATTAAACTCAAAATTTTAATTGATAAGATATTAAACTGTCGTCTAATATTTGTAATAACTGATATTACACTCATAAATGATCTTATACAATAAAAACCTAAATTAATTAAATTAGTAAATATCAAATACTAAATAATTAAAACTTTTTTTGACTAATTAATCTAATAATGTGGAGGTGAACACTCAAGTATGCATGCAATTTGAAGCATATTTTAATTAGTTAATGGATATTACATTGGACAAACCTAACAAAAGTGTACCCACTTGCTTCATCATAAATAAATTTTCATCTTATTTCTTCAAGTGTAGCCTAGTCAAAATCATGAATTTTCTATCAACCTTCCTAGCCTATTTTAAAAAGTCAAATTTAAATTATTATTATTTTTAAAAAAAACAAGAGGAAAAATTGACTGAATTTATACTACTAGTTGTTAAATTTGACTTGTATTTGATATTTGACGGATTGATATTTTGCTACTACTAAAAATATAAATAAAATATATTTCTTTCATATAGGATAAATTCAGAATTAAATATTTTTTTCGTAACTTATAATAAATTGGTTTATAGATTCATGTGATACTATTAAATAATATTGAAATACCACAAATTATTTCAATCTTATTTGTGTGGATTTATTTAAACTATAATTATCTCACACTTTTCGAACTTCGAGATTTAAACAAGTTTATCTTTGATCATAAATTTTTCATAGATCTTTTAAATTTGAATCGTCAATTATTGTGATTTATAGTATTTTTACGTAGTTTACAAATATATAAATTTCATTTCAAAAAAATTGAAGATTACATGCGTAAATTCCCAGTTAAACTTAAATTGTTTGACTCTCGAAAAATGAAAAGTGTCCATAAGGGATCGAGGGAGTATTTATTTATTTAAATATATTAAAGTGAGATTCCACCTAAAATGAGAAATCCACGTTTAATATAAATGGGGGGCTTGAACTTTTGTGGAGGCGTTCTTGTTTGATCCTTGTGCTCAGTCAAAAAATAATACTATAAACAACTCTAACTCATAACTAAGGCGTTCTAATTCATAAAGTGCTCTTATACTAGCTTTTATGAATTTAAATTTTGCTACTTCATTAATTAAAATGATTTAGACAAATTAAATTTTTTAGATAATTCTTTATTTATTACAATTTACATCTATATTAAGATGTAAAGATTGCAATTTAGCCCCTCATTTTCTCCCAACAATCCACCAACCCCCAATTTTATTTTATTTTATTTTATTCATGTTGCATGAATTACCTACGTCATCCTCAAATCTCAACCGTTAATCATAATTAAAATCAATGGCCATAATTGTTCTTCCAACAACCACTATTTTAGTCTTTTCTTGGCAAGCCCCTCACATGTTTTGCTTACCTACCATCATTAGCTCCCCTCTATATATATATACTCACCACATATTCCATCAACCATAACCAAAAAAAAAAGTTTTACAAGTTCACTACATTTTTTTATAAAAATAAACTCTAGCCATTTTCCCTTCACTAAAATTTATCCATTACAAATCTAACCATTTTCTTGATCCAATGGCACAAAATGGACATGTTAATGGAGAAGTTGTAGCCATGGAATTATGCAAGAAATCAATTAATGTTGATGATCCATTGAATTGGGAAATGGCTGCTGAATCTTTAAGAGGGAGTCATTTGGATGAAGTGAAAAAGATGGTGGATGAATTTAGAAAGCCAATTGTGAAACTTGGGGGTGAAACTTTGACAGTTGCACAAGTTGCATCCATTGCAAATGCTGATAACAAAAGTAATGGAGTCAAAGTGGAACTTTCTGAAAGTGCAAGGGCTGGTGTGAAAGCTAGTAGTGATTGGGTTATGGATAGTATGAGTAAAGGTACAGATAGTTATGGTGTTACTACTGGATTTGGTGCAACATCTCATAGAAGAACAAAAAATGGTGGTGCCCTTCAAAAGGAACTTATTAGGTAAACTTTTTTTTATATACACTTAATAACGCAAAGAATTTTTTACATTTTTTCTTATTGACTACCTTGAGTGGTCCACCTTGGGCCATAGACATCATAGACTCTATTGAAACAAATTTTTTTTAATACTTTTGAAGATGAAACACATTTTTATTTTTCTTGTTTACTAGCTAAAACATTCTGAATTGTAGTTGATGTTAAATTAGATGAAAGCATGCTAAGTAACAAGTTCTATTAATTGCATTATCTCAAATTAAAAACAACACGTTTAAGTGTGTATATGGTTGGTGCTCTAATGATGGATGCTTCGTTTTATAGTATGTATATGTAAAACTAATTTTGACTTTGTATGTACAATGTGATATCAACATCATACGCTCTACTTGATGATACATGTTAGTCGAATTTCAGCTAAAAATGTGATCTTGATGAATTATGACTTTTTTTCTTCAGGTTCTTGAATGCTGGAGTTTTTGGAAATGGAACAGAATCATCTCACACTTTGCCACATTCAGCAACAAGGGCAGCCATGCTTGTTAGGATCAACACTCTGCTTCAAGGCTACTCTGGCATTAGATTTGAAATCTTGGAAGCAATTACTAAGTTGATTAACAGCAACATCACCCCGTGTTTGCCCCTCCGTGGTACGATCACTGCCTCGGGTGATCTTGTCCCGTTGTCATACATTGCTGGTTTGCTCACTGGCAGGCCTAATTCCAAGGCTGTTGGACCTAATGGTGAGAAGCTTAATGCTGAGGAAGCGTTCCGTGTGGCTGGTGTTAGTGGTGGATTTTTCGAGTTGCAGCCTAAGGAAGGACTTGCACTTGTGAATGGTACAGCAGTTGGTTCTGGTATGGCATCAATGGTCCTGTTTGATTCCAACATTCTTGTTGTTATGTCTGAAGTCTTATCAGCGATTTTCGCTGAAGTAATGAACGGAAAGCCCGAATTCACAGACTATTTGACACACAAGTTGAAGCATCACCCTGGTCAGATTGAGGCTGCTGCTATTATGGAACACATTTTGGATGGAAGCTCTTATGTCAAGGAAGCTCAGAAGCTCCATGAAATGGATCCTCTTCAAAAACCAAAGCAAGATCGTTATGCTCTCCGAACATCTCCACAGTGGCTTGGCCCTCAAATTGAAGTCATCCGTGCTGCAACTAAAATGATCGAGAGGGAGATCAACTCAGTGAACGACAATCCATTGATCGACGTTTCAAGAAACAAGGCCTTACATGGTGGCAATTTCCAAGGAACCCCTATTGGTGTCTCCATGGATAATACAAGATTGGCCCTTGCATCAATTGGAAAATTGATGTTTGCCCAATTTTCGGAGCTTGTCAACGACTATTACAACAATGGATTGCCATCTAATCTCACAGCAGGAAGGAATCCAAGCTTGGACTATGGTTTCAAAGGAGCTGAAATCGCGATGGCTTCTTACTGCTCGGAGCTTCAATTCTTGGCAAATCCAGTGACTAACCATGTCCAAAGTGCTGAGCAACACAACCAAGATGTGAATTCCTTAGGCTTAATCTCAGCAAGGAAAACTGCTGAGGCTGTGGACATCTTGAAGCTAATGTCATCAACCTATCTCGTGGCGCTTTGCCAGGCTATCGACTTGAGGCATTTGGAGGAGAACTTGAAGAATGCTGTCAAGAACACCGTAAGCCAAGTAGCCAAAAAGACTTTGACAATGGGTGCTAATGGTGAACTTCATCCAGCAAGATTCTGTGAAAAGGAATTGCTACAAGTTGTGGAAAGGGAATACTTGTTTACCTATGCTGATGACCCCTGCAGCTCCACCTACCCTTTGATGCAGAAGCTGAGACAAGTTCTTGTTGATCATGCAATGAAGAATGGTGAAAGTGAGTCGAATGTGAACAGCTCAATCTTCCAAAAGATTGTAGCTTTCGAGGACGAATTGAAGGCTGTGTTGCCTAAAGAAGTTGAGAGTGCAAGAGTTGTGCTTGAAAGTGGCAACCCTGTAAATCCTAACAGGATAACAGAATGCAGATCATATCCATTATACAGGTTTGTAAGGAAAGAAGTTGGAACAGAACTATTGACAGGTGAAAAAGTTCGATCGCCTGGTGAGGAGATTGACAAGGTATTCACAGCATTTTGCAATGGACAAATCATTGATCCATTGTTGGAATGTCTCAAGAGCTGGAATGGTGCTCCTCTTCCAATTTGCTAGATGTTTGTCATGTTGTTAATTTTTCAAATTCATTTTTTACCTTACAGTGAATTACTAGATCATAATATATATGTTGTGAAGTTATATAATTTAATTTTCTTTTGGACAGTATGTAATATTGGCTCAACTAAGGTGCCAAGTTTATCCCATTATGAGAATCAGAATATATAGAATATTCTCTACATGACTTAAAATAAGCTGTTGAAAGATTTCCAAATTATATGTTCATTCGATTCTACTACTTTACTCGTTATAATTCATTTCTTGTGTTTGTGAGACTACTTCATATTTGCTAAGAACAAACAGTTAAATTTCAGGTGGAATGATCAAGGAGATCTTTGTACTTGATTATCATTCCGATTCCTACACAGTCAATTGAACACTTAAATATTTTGAAATCACAACACTTTAAACATAATATCCTCCGGATAAGCACATTAGAGGATGTAAACCGCTCTTTATAAAAGAAATTTTCTATTCTCAAGTATCAAACTCAAAATTTATAACGAAAGCAAAAGTACTAGTAGGTGATTTTTTTTGATTCACTGCTCTCTCTGTCTAACAATAGTTGTTCACTATTGACTTGGTACACACCCAGTGGCGGAGCCAGAAATTTCGCCAAGGGTGTTCAACCTTTAAACAGTCGATACATTTTTTTTTAGCGTAGTGGATACACAAAGCATTTTTTTTTTTACCGATGAGTAACCTGCACAAAATTTTCTGTGTTTTTTTGTTTAAAAAGAGATTTGTATTATAAATACAGCTAGTGGGAATCGAACCCCAGACCTCCATGAGGTGAACGAGTGTGCCTATCACTGGAGCATCTGCCTTTGCTTTTTCAAAGAGTGTTCAATTAATAAATATCCACATATTAGACTCTATTTTGCCTATATACCCGATATAATTTTCCGACGAAGGGTGTTCATCTGACCACCCTTACTAGGATGTAGCTCCGCCCCTGTACACACCTTAAGAAACAATAAATAATAGGGATAATATTACTTCATTATCCTTTGAATATATTAGATTTAATGCTTTGAGAAATATATTAGATATTGAATAGTATTTAATAGCAAGGATAAAATAAATATGAAAAGGTAAATTATCCCATGATTTTCTAAATTGGACAAGTATTGTTGGACAATTATTTTTAGTATAGTAGACAAGTAAAATGGACGGAAAGAGCAATTGTTGCTTATACTGATGGAGATATAGATAGTCAATAAAATAATTGAAGTACACGTAAATTAACTCGGACCCATAGTCATTAAAACATAATATTGACCACCCTGCCATGATAGTAGTGTCAAGTATGTATTTATTACTCTAAAAAAATAATTCTTGGTAGACTTTATGGTCTCACAGAGGACACGTTTGTCCATCCAATTCACTAGAAAATAGTGTTGTTATTTGTGAATGAGTAGTATTTTTTATTCGATGTTTTATATATACTAGTAAAGAAAGCCCGGGCGCTGCCCGGGCCCAACATTAATAAAGTTATATTGTTAGTCTCTCCGTCCCATATTATATGAGAATCTTACTAAAAAAAAAAACATATTATTTGAGCACTTATTAAATTAGGATAGAATTAATTAATTCTTTTCCATTTTACCCTACAATTAATATGACCATTCCTATATTGTATGTGTATTTTTTGTAACTCATTTCAATGTGCACTAATATAAACAAAGGGTAAAATGGTGAAGTTTTCCAATGTATTAATGATTTCTTAATCACCGTGTAAAGTTGGAAGTGCCCATCTAATATGGGACGGAGAGAGTATAGTTTATGTATTGTTATAAAATTAGTAAAGATTGTTATAATATATTTTGCTCATAAGTGAGCTAATATAAAAACTTATTTGTCATTTGTCTTTTTAATTTTAATTTCAAATAGCAAATAAATGTACCGATAAGATTGAGGGTAGAAATGAAACATATCTTTCTAAATTTAAGTAAAAATAAACAGAGTAGAAGTAACATTAGGGTTATCGATAGGACGATTCATTCGGTTATTTTTAAAAAAATTATATCATTCAATTTTTCGGCTATTTTATAATGTATAACCACAATTAAAATTTTAAAATCATCCCAATCCTAATTTATGTGACACAAGCAGTACAAAAATTAGTCTTTTTTTTGTTGTCTTGTAGATATTTTAAGTTATTATTTATTGTAAATTATAGTACTTTTTATTAAAGTTTTTAATAACATATGTTACTTTTTATGTTTGAGAGTTAAACCAATTTTTTTTTATATGTCTTTTAATTTTATATGTGTTTTGTCCTTTTCCATTTTCAAAAACTAATACTCTGTCCATTTCATTTTATATGTCATTTCTTTTTATAAATATATTGGTTATTCCCTCTTCTTATGTCATATATTATGAAATTTGAGAAGTTATTGAAATTTTTATATGATTCTAAAAATATTTTAAATTGTTAGCTATTGTGATTTGTAGTACCTTTTTTTTTACAGAATTTTGAAAATAATATTTATTACTCTCTTTGTTCTAATTTATGTGGCACATGCAAAATTTCAAATATTAACCATTTTTTATATGTCTCTTTACTATATTAAGTTGTTAATTATTGTATTTTATAGTACATTTTGAACTTAATTTTTAAAGAATATATGTTATTTTCCATGTCCCAATTTATGTGGCATTAATTGATAGATTTGTTGGAGTCGAGAGAATTTTTTTGTTAATTATTGTAATTTATAGTTTCTTTTTCGTCAATTTGAAACAATATATGTTCTTAATTGATAGATTTTTTGGAGCCGACAATTTTTTTTGTTAATTATTGTAATTTATAGTTTATTTTTCGTCAATTTCAAACAATATATGTTTATCATATAATCCATTTTATGTGGTAGCAATAGAATTTAGAGAGTCAATTAAATTTTTTATATAACTTTTAAATATTTAAGCTATTAATTATTGTAATGTATAGTATTACTTAGATTATTTTTGAATATAAATGTTACCTTTTTTATCCTAATTTATATGGCATTGATAGAATTGAAAGTGTCAAATAATTGTTAATTATTGTAATATGATATGTAGTACTTTTTATGTAGTTTTTACTATTTTTAAGCATACTAAGTATAGTATTACTTATATTATTTTTAAATATATTTAAATCTACTACTTATATATATATTTTTTAGTAGATAAGTGTGAATGTGAGGGTATTTTTAAATACCCAAAATACCCTCACTTTCACACTTATCTAGTACTTATATTATACATTATATATATTATATAGTAATTTTATATATATTATATAGTAATTTTTTTTAGTAGATAAGTGTGAATGTGAGGGTATTTTTAAATACCCAAAATACCCTCACATTCACACTTATGTTCAACCCTCTCCTTTTTTTGGTGCCACGTGTCGAAAGAGGAGTGAATTTATTCACTCTTCTTATATAGTAATAATATATTGAGGTCAATTAATTTTAATTAGGCACGTTGAAATGAAAGAGAATATATGTAGCGTCAATTCTTAAATGCTATATTGATTAACCTTAAATGATAGTATATTGATTAATCCTTAATTAATTAAAGATCTCAATATTGAGTCAGCTTTGTATATTCTTTGTGGGTAATTATTCAAATTTTGCAAGTACGTGTAAATATAGTTCTTGAAAAAGTTTTTTTCGGACAATGTTAGATTCAAGTTTAAGATTTGTTTCTTTATTGCTCAATTTTAAAAATAAAATATTAGACTATAGTTTAACATTCACAAAATTTACACAATTTTAAATTGTGATCCAACGTTTTTCAAAAGAATTGTTAATTTGCTCAAAAGAGATATTTAAATTATAATCAGAAAAGGTCATAAGTTATAAAAGAAATAAAAGCATGATCATTTACTAAACAGATGTCCCAAAAAATTATACAACCAAATACTGATGGATGTCGTATTTTTACTAAAGGGTTCGCACAACAAAAATGTTGTGCATGATAATTAAACTTGGATCCTCAAGATAATTTTTGAACCTCCTAAAACAATGACTCAACCTATAATTTTGTGTTTTAAGCGATTTAAAATCTAAATATATACATAAAAAAAACTTATATATACAATATAATTTTTCTATTGAGCAGGCTTAAGTGAACACTCTGACAATCCCTTAGATCCTCCTTGCAACTGGATAAATTTTTTCACGTTTACATTTGAGCCTTGAAATTTGAAAAACACGAAATAAAAACTGATTTCCTTTTAAATTGACATACATAACAAAAATTTTAATTAATCAAATAATTAAAAAAAAAAAATTGACCAATCCAATAAAGTGGAAACTCGCTTTCACTTATAGGTGCACTAAGTATGAATACAATTTGAAGCATAATTTAAATCAATTTTAATGGATCTATATGGGACAAAACCTAACAAAAGTTCACCCACTTGCTTCACAACGAAACTTTCTTCAATTTTTCTCACCTTATTATCTTCAAGCGTCTTTCCTATTCAAAGCCATCAATTTCTATCAACCTTCCTACCCAATTAAAAATGTCAAATGTAAAATATATTATTTTTTTAAAAAAAAAAAAAAACAAGAAGAAATGGCAGTAGCATGGAAATCACTTGGTTTGTACTATATGTTAGTTGTTAATTTTGACTCATATTTGGATTTTGACGGATTAATATTGACTATGAATAAAGTTATTTCTTTCGTATCGATTAAAGAGTTTAATAAAAACATATTTATTTATAACTTAAAATAAAATTAATTATAGATTTATATAGTATTATTAAATAATATAAAAAAGCTGCAAATTAATTCGATTTTATTTGCGTGAGTTTGTTCAAATTATCAGTTTCACATCCAAATATAATTAAGAGAGAAGAATTATGTTAGATTGATAATTATAGTTAAACTGATTAAATTATGATGAATATTTATGATATTAAATACGTCAAAACATGCTTGCTTAGACATTATTTTCTTGAATGGTTGAGGATTGATAAATTTTACATTTAAAAAGTGATGAAATTCGTAAAATAACTATATACTAAAATTCAATAAATTGGTCAAATTCCATTGTGATAAACGACTTTTATCAGTCCAATCAGCATATTAGTCAATTACTCATGTAATTTTTTATTTTATTTTTATTTAAACATCTAATATTCATAACCTGTTGGCTCGACCAACCCAAATTTGTGTCGAGTATGTCAATTAAGGAAATGAAATATTTCTCGAAACCTCTACTTAAAAGTAGATGAATCCCGATTACAAAAATATGATATTAAAATTTTGAGTTTATAGTTTTTAAATTTTAAAAAAATAAGTTACTAATTATAGTTAAATTATTTAGGGAAAAAGGTCTGAAATATATCCGAACTTTGATCGAAATTGTTGTAACAATACCGAACTTTAGAAAGGACCTTTTACCCCATACACTATTTAATAGTGTATTTTAAAGGTATATAAGTGCCCATGTGGACATTATAAATATTGCATCATTATAAATAGTAATGTGTCCATGTGGGCACATATATACCTTTAAAATACACTATTAAATAGTGCAGAGGGTAAAAGGTCCTCCATAAAATTTGGTATCGTAACAATAATTTCGACCAAAATTACAGTATTTTTCAGATTCTTTTCCCAATTATTTATGATTGTTACATAGTAAATTTTTAATATAATACAAAATCTACGCTAAAGTTATTGTAAGCGAAAATATAACTCTGCCGTCCTCAAATTTCACCCTACCTATGGGTGGTATTATAATTCTTTTCACAATTAACTTATTAAATTCTTACAAACTTTGTAACAAAAAATAATATATATTTTTTTAAAAAAAAACTATTTAAGTGATATTTATAGTAATAATAAAATAAAAATAATGGGTGCCTTGGCCTTTTGCGGACGCGTTTTTGTCTTGTCCTTGCTCAGTCAAACTTATTTAATTGAGAGGGGCAAAATGTAAAAAGTGAAATAAAGACTCTAATTGACATTATGAAAACAAAGGGGGCTAAAACAGAAAAAACAAAAAGTATTCTGGTTGTTATAGAGTGGATATTCAAAATCCTTCTCTAGATTTGAGAGATCCAAACTTTTACTAATTTGTAAATTAATCCCTTATTTAGTTAGCTATGAGCAATTTAACAACTGATTACAATAATATTCATAGCTAATTTCACTTTTTTTTTATCGTGGATTAATTCTTCTATATTGAAATTCATTCATGCTAAAAGAAATATCAAATTTTTAATTTCTATCTTTCAACTGTGATAATTATTTTCACGTATTGAAAATAGTAATACGAATGTAAAAACAAGTCTATCAAACAATAAACTATAGGATTTTAAATAGAGAAAATAATATTTACTTCGATTTGTAAACGTTTTCGTACTATTAATTACGCAATATATCATACCTTTTCATTTAAAATAGATGTCTATAAATTAGTTTAAATCGTATGTATATCTTAGAGTTTTTTATCGCGACAAAAAAAATTACGAAATACGAAAAAAAGTCATACAAATTGATAAATCAATATCTTATATTAATAGTCCTATAACAATTTAGCATGTCTATAAATTGATAATTGATAAATCAAATCAATAAACTTTAAAATCGAACAGAATCAACCTATTCAACCTAGTATTAGCAAAATCTTATGCTAACATTTATGAATTTTATCTATGTTAATACTCCTTTATTTCTTCCATCAACATCAAGAGGAAAGAATATAGAATTACAATTTAACCCCTTATTTCTTTCCCAAAAACAACTTCAAACATATCCTAAATCCACCAACCCCCAAAATCTTTTTTTTTCTCTCAATATATTAAAAATATATATGCATGTTGCATGAAATACCCACGTCATCCTCAAATCTCAACCGTTAATCACAATTAAAATCAATGGCCATAATTAATCTTCCAACAACCACCATTTTTGGTCATTTCCTACAACCCCCTCTCACATAATTTTCTTTACCTACCATCCTTTGTTCCTCTCTATTTATACTCACCACATATCCCATCTACCATAACCAAAAAAAAAAAAACAATATTAATCAAAGTTCACAACATTTTTTTATATAAATAAAATTCCCATTTTTTCTCTTCTCCAAATTCTCCTAAGTAAAATTTCTCCATTACAATTCTAGCCATTTTCTTGATCTAATGGCATCAATTGCACAAAATGGACATGTTAATGGAGAAGTTGTAGCCATGGAATTATGCAAGAAATCAATTAATGTTGATGATCCATTGAATTGGGAAATGGCTGCTGAATCTTTAAGAGGGAGTCATTTGGATGAAGTGAAAAAGATGGTGGATGAATTTAGAAAGCCAATTGTTAAACTTGGGGGTGAAACTTTGACAGTTGCACAAGTTGCATCCATTGCAAATGCTGATAATAAAAGTAATGGGGTCAAAGTGGAACTTTCGGAAAGTGCAAGGGCTGGTGTGAAAGCTAGTAGTGATTGGGTTGTGGATAGTTTGAGTAAAGGTACAGATAGTTATGGTGTTACTACTGGATTTGGTGCAACATCTCATAGAAGAACCAAAAATGGTGGTGCCCTTCAAAAGGAACTTATTAGGTAAACCTTTTTTTATATATATACACTTGATAACATAAAGAATTTTTATATTTTTTCGTATACATATTTGATATGTCATTAATGATTATGATGATACCTATAGATATTCTTTATGTGATCTAATAGTAGTGTTACGATAACTACAACTTTTCATGTTACGTATTTTGTGTGTTATTTTTCATTTGATTTGATAACATAAAATTCTTTTTGACTATAGAATTTTCTCTATTAGTTAACGATTTTCTATAACTCTCATTTGTTCCTTGAAAAAATAGCATCTAACTTTATGTATATTGATAGAGTAAAAAACTTTTTATACTCTCAATATAGCATGACAGGTGTCTTATTTTTGGTGTTACTTATATTTATTTTTCATGTGATCAAATAGTACGTGTGGATATTCTTTTACTGTGTTGGGAGTATAAAAATTAAAACTTTTCTATATCAGACAAATGAAATATGACTTGCATCTTTATAATCTAAAGATATATTACTATTCTGAATATATAGGTATTAATGGTCTGGTATTTTTGAGTTAATAGCTATATGGCAATTTATTTATTTGATTTCAAATAATCATATTAAACTTTAAATGGATTATGGAAAGTAATTAATTTAATTGTACAAATTGAACCATCAAATTGACTTGTGCATGTGGGGTTTGGGAAAAGTTAGTGTGGTAGGTAAGGGAGATTTTAGTCATTTCATTTCCTTCAATTTTTGTTTTTATCAACTTGGAGGTACATGTGAAAGTTAGTACTCAGTAATTTTTTTAAATTGGTTTTCTTAATTTGTATATATATAAAAAAAATATTCTAATAAGCATCTTTATTTTGAATATAATAAATAAAACTATATTCTCTTGTGTCTTCATCACAAAAATAAATGAGAGACAAAAGTGTTCAACTTTTTAAGGTATAATGTTAGTTCCCATGTGCCATCTCTTGTCAGATATCTATTTTATAGTGTCGCATATAAAAATATTATAAATAAATTTTTATTATATTTTATATCAAATTTGTGCTCATCCTTATTTGTAACTTGTAAGTTGTAAGTCCGTGTACAAACAATCTTGTTCTGTATTCGGAGTTTCACTGGGGTTGGTAATACGAAATGGGGCCCCCTAGCCCTTTGAGTGCTTCTCCTCGGACCATCGACATCATACGCTCTACTTGATGACACATGTTAGTAGAATTTTAGTTAAAAATGTGATGTTGATGAATTATGATTTTTTTTCAGGTTCTTGAATGCTGGAGTTTTTGGCAATGGAACAGAATCATCTCACACTTTGCCACATTCAGCAACAAGGGCAGCTATGCTTGTTAGGATCAACACTCTGCTTCAAGGCTACTCTGGCATTAGATTTGAAATCTTGGAAGCAATTACTAAGTTGATCAACAGCAACATCACCCCATGTTTGCCCCTCCGTGGCACAATCACTGCCTCGGGTGATCTTGTCCCTCTTTCCTACATAGCTGGTTTGCTCACTGGCAGGCCTAACTCCAAGGCTGTTGGACCAAATGGTGAGAAACTTAATGCTGAGGAAGCGTTCCGCGTGGCTGGTGTTAGTGGTGGATTTTTCGAGTTGCAGCCTAAAGAAGGACTTGCACTTGTGAATGGTACAGCAGTTGGTTCTGGTATGGCATCAATGGTCCTGTTTGATTCCAACATTCTTGCTGTCATGTCTGAAGTTTTATCGGCGATTTTTGCTGAAGTGATGAATGGAAAGCCCGAATTCACTGACTATTTGACACACAAGTTGAAGCATCACCCTGGTCAGATTGAGGCTGCTGCTATTATGGAACACATTTTGGATGGCAGCTCTTATGTCAAGGCAGCTCAGAAGCTCCATGAAATGGATCCTCTTCAAAAACCAAAGCAAGATCGTTATGCTCTCCGAACATCTCCACAGTGGCTTGGCCCTCAAATTGAAGTCATCCGTGCAGCAACTAAGATGATTGAGAGGGAGATTAACTCAGTGAACGACAACCCATTGATCGACGTTTCAAGAAACAAGGCCTTACATGGTGGCAACTTCCAAGGTACCCCTATTGGTGTCTCCATGGATAATACAAGATTGGCCCTTGCATCAATTGGGAAATTGATGTTTGCCCAATTTTCGGAACTTGTCAACGACTATTACAACAATGGGCTGCCATCTAATCTCACAGCAGGAAGGAATCCAAGCTTGGACTATGGACTCAAGGGAGCTGAAATTGCAATGGCTTCTTACTGCTCGGAACTTCAATTTTTGGCAAATCCAGTGACTAACCATGTCCAAAGTGCTGAGCAACACAACCAAGATGTGAATTCATTGGGCTTAATCTCAGCAAGGAAAACCGCTGAGGCTGTTGACATCTTGAAGCTAATGTCATCAACCTATCTCGTGGCGCTTTGCCAAGCTATCGACTTAAGGCATTTGGAGGAAAACTTGAGGAATGCTGTCAAGAACACAGTGAGCCAAGTAGCTAAGAGAACTTTGACAATGGGTGCTAATGGTGAACTTCATCCTGCAAGATTCTGCGAGAAGGAATTGCTTCGAGTCGTGGACAGGGAATACGTGTTTGCCTATGCTGATGATCCCTGCAGTTCAACCTACCCTTTGATGCAGAAGCTGAGACAAGTCCTTGTTGATCATGCAATGAATAATGGTGAAAGTGAGAAGAATGTGAACAGCTCAATCTTCCAAAAGATTGTAGCTTTCGAGGACGAATTGAAGGCTATGTTGCCTAAAGAAGTTGAGAGTGCAAGAGCTGTTCTTGAAAGTGGCAACCCTTCAATTCCTAACAGGATCACAGAATGCAGATCATATCCATTGTACAGGTTGGTGAGACAAGAACTTGGATCAGAACTGTTGACAGGTGAAAAAGTTCGATCGCCCGGTGAGGAGATTGACAAGGTGTTCACAGCAATGTGCAATGGACAGATTATTGATCCATTGTTGGAGTGTCTCCAGAGCTGGAATGGTGCTCCTCTTCCAATCTGCTAAATGTTTGCCAGATAAAGGACCAGTTGTTAATGCTTGTCTAGTGCTATTTTTCAGATTCTTTTTTTACTCTATGGTGAATTACTATCATAACATGTTGTGAACTTACGTCTTTTTTGGTTAACTTGAGAGAGTGTTTAAACTCTCTTAAATATGAATATGTCTCTTTTCAGTAAAAAACTTAAATGAAAAGTGACAGTGTGCTTGTGTCTATTCAATTCTTCTGTTCAATCAAGTTGCTCTTCTTGTTTTATTCAAAGCACTAACAATTGCAGGGACTCACAAGTAAACTTCCATCAGTTTTCAGAAACAACAAAAAGGAAGTAACTGTGAAAAAGATCCTCTTGGATTTGGTATTGTTTTTTTCTTGGATATGCTTGTTATAACATGTCCAGCTCAGCTCATGTCATCATCTTTCTAGGTAAGAAAGATCGATCATGAATTGACAAGTTTTACGCTGGCTCTCCAATCTACCTCAACTTTTCTCCTTTATTGCAGAGTAGAACCGCCGAAACAAGTTGAGATAAGCTATATGAGTCCTTACTTTTCTATTTAAGCTCAACTCATATCACCAACATTCTGTATTAGGAGGATTCACTATGAATTGACAAGTTATACGCAACTTATCGCAACCCTCCTCCTTCATTTGAGTTTGAAACTGACAATGGGTATTGGGTACTAATAGTTGAATGTGTAACAAATATCAGGTTTCCTTCACATATGCAATTAAGACACTTTCAACCAGCTGTAAACATCGAGTGTGCATAAGTTTTTTCCCCTCAAACTGGTTGCAACAGAGTCAGTAGCATACCAGACCATGAAGCTTGCTGTCATTACTCTTATTTAGAAATGAGAGTTGTGGTGTACGAACGGAGATACCTTGGGGATTTCAAATATTTCAGGGTTAAAATGGTGTCTTTTGTTCATAACTAGATATACAGAAGTGATCATCAGAAATTTGTGCTTAAACCAAGTTTCAATTCAAGAAAGAACAAAGTGTAGTTTATAAGTGCAACATGTAGACTGACTTTGCCTGGCAAATTTATTGGACTAAAACAATTAAGACTAGAGTGATTCATCGAAGTAATGAGACCTTGGAAGCTGTTTTTTCAAGTGTCATTAGCGGAACATTCTGTCAATCTAACAAGACTTGTCAAGGTTTGGTCCAAGTGTATGATCAAACACTGAGGAGGACACGTGTTCTTGTTTAGTTTGTTTAGCTTATTCTCCTCCTCGTAATATTATAGCACTCGTTCTTGTTTAGTTTGTTTCAAAAAGAATGACAGGTGAGACTTAGTACTGCTATAATCATGAAAATGTCATGTTCAAGAAGCACAGAGATATTTATATTTATACTGGAAGTCTTGGACTTCTTCACCTATATATGCAACTTCTTATCGGAGTACACACAAATGATCCACCGTGGTGTACTTCAATTGTAAAATGCGAGGCTTCAGAGATAGGACCTGCATGCACATAATATCACAAATGTAAAACTATTAGTACAGGGATGTTTTTGTTCAGTGAGGTATATAATACGAGGATGTATCTTATGTTTAGCCCATAATTTAGAGATGATTTTAGCCCAAAACTCCGAAAGTAAGAGAGCTTGAGATGTTATTTATCTTTGTTATAATCAAAGATACGTGGGGTGGTTCGTTCTACAGCAATCCTCTTACAAAAGAAGGATTAATCCGCATTTTTAGTTCACCAAGTAGAGATATATTACTTGGATAAGTCCTTCCATTCTTCTCTACTTTCAATATCTTTGAACAGCAACTGTGTTCTCACAGTTACTTGAGGAGTTCCACTTTGCCACTTAGTTTAATTTCAGCATCAATGTGCTGATCTTTAGGAATGCCTTCCATGAGGATTTTCCAAAACCATATAACACGGGAGGATGGACAATGTAACACGGGGACCCAACATCAAGTAAAGTCTAACTATGATACCATGTAAAAAAAATGATTCTCAGTCTAACTCAACCCTAAAAGTCAACTAGCTTATGAGGAGAGTATTGTCCAAGTCTATATAAGCAAACCACCAGTTCAAAGAGAAATCACGATGATTGGAGAGTTATACACATTACATTAACTGAAAATATAGTATGGTATATATACATTTCTTGACACACTAGAAGAGTGAAAGAAATAGAGCAAAGCTTACATATGAACGCCTATGGCTCATAGTTCTCAATTTACAATGAAGTAACTAGTGATGTTTGATCAACTCACAATATTCCAAGAATTTGTCATGATCTTTCTTCCAAGTTCATCGACTATTAGGTCACACTCTTTTTTACATGACTTTTTAAAGTAATTAAATTATGGGAAGTTCGAAAATAACACCATAGTTAAGGGAACATAACCAACCTATCCAAAATATATATATATAGTTATACCATAGTTGAAGGCTCTTGGAAAAAATGTGGTAAATAACTCATTCCTTTAATCTAGATATAAATACATTGAAGAATCATTTACACTTTTTGACTTGATTGATGATGAGGTGATAGATCATTTTCCCCCGCCCAGTGTTCGATATCCGCATTGGAGCCCCACTATTTTGAATTCGCATCGCATAGGGCTTCATTTGGGGAAAGCTCTTCCTATCAAGGATTTTTCTATACTCAATCCTCAAATCTAAGACTTCTGATTAAGGAAGGATTAGCCCCATTTGTTGCACCTCATCCATTGATGGTTTTGTTGATCATTTTATGCATTCAAGCTACCCATTTATTAGCTCAATTCAATAAATATATATATATATATATATATATATGAAGCTTAAATTGAATAATGAGATATCTTATCAAAATATTAATGATAATATTTTTTTATTAGGTACTAAAAATCATATATCATATCATACATTATTAAAAGTGGGAAACTCCTAACCTCATAGTTGGATTACCATTTTGCCCCTATTTTACCACTATATTAAATTAAATTAAATATCAATATATAACTAATTAATTAAATATTAAATAATTATTATTATTATATTTAAATTCATGCATCAAACAAGATCTTAATGCAATCATCGTATTCATGTACTAAATGTGGTTAATGAAGTGTTAAAACATAACCTTCAATCTTAATTTGTAATAAGTGGGGGTAATGAAGAGTCTATCAAAAAGACACTCCAACAACATTATTTATAAAAAAAATTCATCCAAATTTGTGATCGGCTTGCCTTCTATGTTAGGTTAATATGCATCATTTGTAAAATTCTCTTTACCAATTTGTAATTGTAAGAATCCTTACTAATTCATTTATTTGTATTCTTTATTATTTCATGCATATTCATCTTCTTTTTGTTGAGAAATATGTAAATTGTCATCGAGATGAAAACTCTATTGATACGGAATTGTAAGTAAATTTTGTTTTTTTAAATTTTCATATTTTTGAGTTTCCAAACATAACTTCATAAATGGTTATTATATTTTCATATTCTTCATTTCTTCCACCTTTAGGATATAAATTTAATTAACACTTCAAATTTATAGGAGAAAATGATGAAAGAAACTTTAGAATATTTTTTATTTTAAGATATATTTAATATAAAGGCAAGAATAATTCTCCTTTATATTAGTTGAGTGTCTTCATCCTTTTAAATTGCTTTTTGAGAATATATTTTAGTTAATTAGTGTGTTTGAGTTGTTTCTGTTTGAAAATCAACGTAACCTTTTCACCCGCTATACAGATTTTATACAACAGTAGTAGGGGACAAACGTGCAACGCACGTTCCCAGAACTAATATATATATAAAAGAGAACCTAGGCTCGCCTACGTGGCGCCACCATAAACCAGGATTCCTTTTTTAATTTATTTATTTCCAAAACTAGCCTTCCTCTTTCATGAAACGTTGTGACTTTTATGAAAAGTTATGACTTTTATGAAGGATTGCGACTTTAATGAAAAATTACGACTTTTACGAAAAATTGTGATTTTTATGAAGAGTTGCGACTTTTATGAAAAGTTGTGACTTTTATGAAAGGTTGTTACCTTTCCGAAGGGTTGTAACTTTTCCAAAGAGTTGTGACATTTCCAATAAAGCACAATAAACATTTGTTGACACTACCCTTTGTTGTCTATAAATAGAGGGATTTCCTCTCATTTTAAAATAACGAAAATTCTGAACTTCTTCTTTTTCTACACAAATAAATATTCGTGTACTTTGCTCCTGTTGAGTGACTTACTACACCATTGTATTTGTATCAATACACTGGTGAATAGAATCATTATATCCTGAGAGGATCTATTCCTTTAAACCTCAGGTACTAGAGTGAATAATTTCCTTAAGGAGACACTGTGTATTCAGTGGGCTCAATTTTTTTCTTTCTGTTTCATTCTATTGTTACAGATCCTGATATGTTTTTTTTACAGTCATTAGTTTATGCTTATGTTATTAATATAACACTTTAAGATTTTGGAGGATTGTTTTGCCTTTGAGATAAAATGTTATTGACAATGTAGAGTATGTATCGAAAATACGGATATTACTGAATAATCATATGTAAGCTTAATAAAAAAATTCAATCCCGTACGAAGCACGAATAATTTACCTAGTTTATAAATAAATAAACTAACTAAATTATGATTCACATTTTAACTCATTTCAATTCAGATATCTATCGGGCTGATCAATAACCGCTAGTTTCCACATTCTTGTGATCTGAGAAAAAAAAAAAAACAGAGCACCAAGTTGTAGGTACACACTTCATCAACAACCCTTCATCACTCACCACCCGACACTATTTTTGTAGTACTGTATAATCATTATCTTTACATATTCCATCGCAAAAATTGCACCTACTTACTTCAAGATCTGAAATTTCTCCCAGCAGCACAAGGAAAAAATATAATTTATAAAACAATGGAGTACGATGGGATTCTTTTGGGCATGGGAAATCCATTACTCGATATCTCAGCTGTTGTAGATCAAGATTTCTGGAACAAGTAATGTTTTGTTACGTTTCTTGGCACCCCATTTGTCTAAATTTCATGTTATAGCTAGTTTTTGTTTGTTTTTTAAGCTATGTTGCTCGGACTTTCCATAGATGATGCTGCACCCGTGTTGTCGGATTCTTTAAAAATGCATTCTTTTTTAAGGATCCGACAACATTTTTTAAGATTCCGAGCAGCATAGATTCTCAGTGTACCTTTGTAGATGTCTAAAATCCCTGTTCTTAGCTATTTGTATTTGTTTTAAGCAA